ATTACCTTTTGAATTTTCATTCGAATCACAATTCAGCAATCAAAAATAATATCGTTAAAAATATGACAAATCGTGTTTTAGTAGCCAACAATGGCCACAAAAATGAAAAAGATTTAAATGATTTGCATGAAATTTTAGAAAATAGTCAGTTTCCAAAAAATATTAAAAATAGAATCAAAAAAGAAGTTAATGATAATTTAAGTAGAAGTAATAATGTTAACAATAATCAACAGTGTTCTGGTATAGTTGTAAGTCCTCGTCTGAGTGGTATCACCGAACGTTTGAAAACAGATTTAAAAAAACATCAAATTAAAACATTTACACAATACTCTAAAAGTAGTGGTTCTATTTTAAATAAAACCAGATTAATTGCACGCAATAAGCTTGGTACTAAGAAGAAAGATTCTACAGTTTTTGTTAAAAATGCTATTTATAGTATACCAGGCAAATGTGGATGCATCTATGTCGGAGAAACGGAAGATTTTGAAAGACGTCACAAACAACATATGAGTAATGTCAAATATCATCGTGTTAATGAGTCAGAAAGAGTTCAACATTTGTTTGTTAGTAATAGTAGTTGTAGTATTCAATTTGAAAAAAGTTTAATATTTGATAGAGAAGAAAATAAACATCGTAGAAAAGTATTAGAAACAGTTTATTCAATAGTAAATAAATCATATAATAATAAACGAATGATATGTAATCAATGGAAAGTTAGTATCAGTAAATGGATAAGGGAAAAATCAGGTGGTCTTTTTAGAACAAAAACAATAAATTCAAATAATAATAGTCACCACAATAGTCAAATAAATAGTCATAATATAGTTAGTCAACAAGTAATTTTAGGATTAAACCAAAAAGGCAAATATAGTTTAAGAGCACAACTACGAGCTAAATATAAATTTTAACCAGTAAATAATTTTATGCATGTCTTTGACAATTGTACTTATTATTTAATTTTCAAATTTTTGTACAGCTGTTATGCCATCTATTCACTACAATGACAGTCAACATGATATTTTAGCTGCTCATCTTTATCCATATTCAACTGTAACTTTCACAATCATCACCTTGTCATCGTTTACTGTACTTACTATTTTTTTCTCGTATTTCAATAAGTGTAATTTCCAAATATCATGCTTTTATACACTCACTATTGCAGTTGTTGAACATCCTGCGCACATTTTTAATTAGCTCTCGTATATAGTGTGTTCTTTTCTGTAATCACTTGTTATTCATATCATTTGTACTACTGAAGAAGGAGTCGGTTTAGACTTCGAAACATTTAGCAGTTGTAAATAAATTTATAAAATAAAATAAAATTTTACGAGAAAAACGAAATTAAATTTAAATGTGATTTCCTTATCATATTATCAACAGAATTCTCGACCTGTGAACTTATCGATCTCTAGTTTATTTCTTCTGTTTTACGTCAACCGGCATGAAATTTTCGTGTCGTCACACACAAAAAGGTGAAATACAAAAATCAGGAAAAAGAATGAGAATTTAATTCAATATTATTTATAGATCAAGTGTCCGTAGATTGAGGAAAGGTTTTTATCTCAAACCTAATTGCTTCTACTTAATAAAATATCATCTTCTAAATCAAGATTTATTCTTGAATGAAAATCTGGTGCAAAAACTATTCTCGTCGCACAATTGTACTAATTTAGTCAAGCCAGGTTACCTAACTTCTTTGTGGAATTTTATCCGATCGTTGTAGTGCTTTTCTTTCTTGCTTAGTGTTTTTGCGAATACTTGACCATATTCAGTCGTCTGCGCTGATAAATAAATAATTTTTCACTGACGACGTTCGAAAATGAACAGTCAGCGGCGTGAACTTGGAAAAATTTGATTTTATTGTCACCAATACTACTGACTTGAAAGAATCAGCCGTCTTTTTTCAAACCAATATCTTTCATTCCAATAAAAAAAAGCTTATCAACGCAGACCGTGGGTCTAAAGTGTAACTCTTTCATTCAAACTAAAGTAGGGCTGGATGAAATCTATGCCCTGTGTGTATACATTTAACGTTAGCTTGTCTGCATTAGTTTATGGGGGTGAATAACGTTTTCAGATTTTCACTGATTTCTTACATTTCTTACATTTACAAACTTTTACTCGTTGTTCTCCCTTTTTCAGAGGAAGTCAGGGGAGGAGTTACACAAAACAGCTGAATATATCTTTCTTCTCTTTTCTGTTTAAGAAGCATTATGGCACAAAAAAAACGAATATAAACCTAAGCATAAGAAAAACACACAGGCACTGGGAGTAAGAAAAAAAGACTTTTCATTATTATTTAAAAATAATGTAATTATCATGAATAAACCGTACTTTACCTACTTGAAAATGGTGAGGTATAGAAAAAATTCATCGTGCGGCGGCGGCGGTGGCGACGCGTTGTCGAACCCCATTGATCATTTTTACAATCAACCTCTCAGGTTCACTTAGTCTGGTTTGCAAGTATGGTATGGCATATTCTGAAGTTTTGAGCTCGTTCTGGTGTTTTTTGAGTGAATTATAAATTTCTTAAGGGCCTCCCCCTCAGAAATTATCTCCGACACAGTACATCCGATTTTGGCCAAACTTTCCGTAAATGTTAGGTTTAATGAGTTATAGGAATGAAAAAATTTTTTTGTCGCCAAGTCTTACAGTTTAGGGGTTTTTCAGAGATCAAGGTCCAAAAAGAATCCTGAAGTTTTTCTTAAGATTTTTTAATATACTTCAAGCTGAAGAGTTCGGATTTATTTTATTTTAAACTAGACATCGTACCACATGGATTGACTGGCGCTGATTTTTCAGTTAAACCTTTATTGGTTTTCCAGGCAACCAAGACACCCCAAAATCCGAAAAGGCTTCCAAGTTTTCTAAAAATCCTCAGTTTGACAAAAAATTAAGACGTAATTTAACAACCGTCGCCAGTCAGTTTGACATATAATTTCTTTTTGTCTTTTAAACAAAAAAAGAATAAACTCTCTACGACAAACCGCCATAAAAAATCTTTGAAAGCACTTCAGGTATAACTTCCCATGTGCTTATATCAAAACCGATTTTTTGACCGAAAATCACCATTTCTGAGGGGGTCCCCTTAATATTAGGTGGAAACAACCTGGAAACCTTCCTTTTTCACAAAACCTTGGTTTTGTCAGGTTGTTGAACGTTTGTCTAAAAACGGATATTTTTAGGGTTGTCACAAGATTCAGCGTAAACCCCCCCCCCATAATAGAAGCCTCCGGGGCTTCTAAACTGTCCGAGTGTTCAAAATTTTTAGGGGGGGCTTGTATTACGAAGGGGCTACTA